CGGCATCGACAAAGTCTTTGATACGCGGTAGATACAAAGAGCCATTGAGGAGGAACATAAACGCGTCATTTGGTTCCTCATCAGGCTTAAGCAAATAGTATTCGACTTTCTGGCACAGATCGTGGACGGTCAGCTGAAAGATTTGGTCCACCTCGCCGATCGGTCCTTTCTCAAGCGACTCGTTCGTCGCCTGTTCGTACACACCCGGAAAGGGATAACGCCCAACGTTCTCAGCAACGCATTGACCCTTGATCGTGCGAACGCCGAGGGGACAGCAGAGCGGAATGCAGATACTGTTCTCGCACATCTCGTACGGAACGACGTTTCTTTTATTATCATTTTGATAGAACTTTACAAAGTGCTTGTACAACGTTAAGTTGCTTCTGTCTTCGATCACGTCTTGCATCAGGTTTCCACGGGGTTCATGTGCTGTAGAAATGATCTTGTCATCTGTAGAATTTGTACGAAGCTCTATCGACGTTTGATCGCCGCCCCCGCGATCCTTCGTGGAATGCGCGTGAAATTCATACCCCACCGAGTCATCATCCTCGTGGATACTCGTGGAGTTTAGACGGAGCTCGTACTGCACGTCGTCGTTACTCCTGGTGGAATTTCCACGAGCGTTATAACGCGTAGTTTCCGCATCGCCGCTACGATTTGTCGTGGTAACATTAATATGAATCTGATATCGCACTGTGGAATTATTCCGTTCGTTGTCGCTCGTCGTCGTCGTAGAATTTTCCCGCGGCTCGGAGGAGGAAATGACGAATAGAAGCGTGCAGCAGCAAAGCGCGAAATTTCGTCGACGCATTGTCGACCTGTTGACAGGCCGAAATTCACTGACAACCGTCTTGGTTTTCTCTTCGTGCTATCGTAGTCAGACGTCCAGCGACCGCAACGATATCGCAAAATACGGAAACATGAAAAATACGCGTGATGATATCGTGTATTCAAATACGTCATCAGAGTAAAACAAGATTTACGTCATTACCGAGTTATCGTCTGTCGACGTATGTGATTGATAATAATTAAGTGTTTATCGGAGAGAACGGAATAAACACAAAAGGGAGCAAAGAGCTCTTGCACGATTCTCTCCTTTCTTTCTTCTCAAGCGAATCGTCGAAACGACTGTACTAGTAAAATCCATTCGCGGTTCAAATACAGCATTGTTATCACTAACGATTACGGTTGACTTTTAATTATCTCGTTGAATTCGATAAAGCCTAGTGTTCGGTTTCACCGCGACTTTTCCTGATGACGGACGAGGGAAGAGCGCGCGAGAAACGCATGCACTCGCGCGAGCAACGGGACGAGACTACCAGACAACGAGCCGGCGGCTTTAGAAAAGCAGAGGCTACCTGCTGCGAAGCCGCGGTATACAGGGCGGTTTGAGAGAAAAAAAAAAAGATGTTCATTGGTCTACGAGATGGTAGCTTGACCAATCCAGCGGCAACGTAAATTTAGACACTTGGCTGTTTAGATATTTAAGCGGGGAGCACGCACTTCTGCACAACGCATATTGCGTAAGCATAAGAAAATTGATTGGTCCATACACATATGCATAAGAAAATAGACTAATCAATATTCTTATGCTTACGCATTATGCGTTGTGCAGAAGTGTGTGCGCCCCGCTTTAGTGCTCCGGTGGAGAGAAGCGCTACAGTTTCGGGAGGACTGCGGAAACTGAGAATAGATCTACGGACGAT